TTCTTACTTATTTCATTGACTGATCTTGGCAAATTCAATGAGAACAGCACGAGTGAAGCCTCCACCACCCTGACCACAAGCTGTACACCAGTGAAAGGTCACAGATAATTACGGAAATAAAAACATATACAAAAAATATATATATAAATAAAGTTTGCTGAATTCTTCAACATATATAACATGGCAAAAACTGAAATTTTGTAGTCCTGACCAGGATGTAGCTTCTCCAAATTTCAGTTTCTGGTCTTGTGGATCAAAAGGAGGTAATTAACCTAATGAATCCTGAATGTAAATATACCACCGAAAGACAAACTTATCTTTTTAATGATCCTCTCTACAGCATCCAGTCAGCATCTGCCAACACAAGACAAGAGGGAGAATTTATAAATATAACAGATAAAAGTACTTAAAATCATTTTTGAATGATTGTGTTTAAGTACTTTTGTTTGTTCTGTTTATGCAAAAACTTAAAGACCATAAAATAAAAAGGGTAACAAACAAAAGAACTACACAAATTCACTAATTTTACAAAATTCATTTTAAAATCTGTATTGAAAGCACAGACAAAAACAAACAAACAAACAACTTTACTTAATACCCATTAAGAAGAAAAATTAAGAACATAACCACAATAAATAGACAAAGATACAATCATTTCAATGTCAAAACATATGTAAAGACCCACACAAATGAAAAAAAAAAAAAAACCCAATTACTAGTCAATTTATGTAAAATACCAAAAGATAAAATGTAATAAAATCTATTAACATAAGAACCATCAGTCAAAAACAGGAAGAAATCCTCAGAATATCTAGACTGTTGGCGTCTGTTTCTGGAAGGAAGGGGTGGAGTTAGGGAGACATAGAGCAATACAAATATTCTCCAAGAGGACCTGGAGAATAACAACTTAAGGTGTAAAGCATAATGAGTTGAACTTGTACGTTACCACCTGTCCAGCATAGAAATGTTGTTGACACCGTAAGGTTACTCTAAACTGGACAGACAGTTGAACCTCAAGGTTATGACTCTTTTTGGTTTAAACCCTAATTGATAGAAAGCATACTTATGACAATGGGAGTGAAGGGGGGAGAAGGTATTAACAATCAAATGGTTGATTTCAGTCAACACTCCTAAACCTCTTAGACCAAACCATAAAGAACTAAAAGTACAAAATCAAACCCTGGTCCACCCTGGACTGAAGGTGTAGAGTGGTGATGGTCCAAACACTGGTCATCTCCAGGTACACTACTGCAGATAGGTCCTTTTAAAAAAAAAAAACACTCCAAAAAATATTAAACATGAAAGACAAACAACTCAGACATAAAAATACAAATACTCTCCAAGTTCCCTTCACATAGAGTCTGTAGTATAATTTACTTCAGATACTGTCTAGCATGAAGTAAAGCCAACTCACCCACTTCAAGTTGTCTCAAATCATAGAGAAAGAATTGCTGGAGGAAGACATCCAGAACGTCCAACCTCCAGAATAACTTGAGAACAAGGTAGAGGCCACAGGCAGGATAGAATCTTTACAAAAAAAACCTCAGTCAAAAAGACAGAGATGGCTACTGTACCAACAGACAAGTATGGGAAAATAAAGGTTGAACACAAATTGTAGCCCAATGTCAAACAGCAAACCACAAACATCAGCCCATTACAATCAGTAACATCCACTTAGTTTTATATAATAAAATTAAAGCTAAAAAAAAAAAAAAACTAAACTAAAAGATGAATTAAAAACCACAAATGCTTACTTATTAAAATAGTGAAAGTGAATTATTTGTCATTGTGATGCAGCACACCAAATTAAAAAATATCTGCTGTTTATGTAAAACCCAATAAAAACCATAAAACAACAGGTTAAACAAGAGAACAAAACAAATTCAATTTTCATGCAAGACGAACATAAAGACTCACAAATGAAAAGAACCTTAGAAATTTAAATATAGTCACAATCAAACCAAATCACACATTCATTGTTATTTAATTCACAATATTCTGCGGAGACCAACCAGATTTATTATTTAAAAAAAAAAAAAAAAAAACACGTAAAGACCTACAAATAAAAATCATAAGAACCAAACAAAACCTATTTTAACTTATCAAGACAACAAAAATAAACTAATAAGTCATAGCAATACATTTTGCCTTAACCAGAAAAAAAAAGAAAAAAAAAAAAAAAACAAAGTAATTATTCCCTCTCCTTGAATCGCAACCTTAACGTGGTGGAGGGGTTTGAGTATCCGAATGAACCTAGGAGCTATGTTGTCGGGGGCTTAACGCCCCTGGTAGGGTCTCCCAAGGCAAACAGGTCCTAGGCGACGGATCAGACAAATAGCGGTTCAACCCCCCCCCCTTGATGAAGAAAAAGACAGCAAAGAGGTTCACGTCGCCCGGATTGGCGTCACCGGGGCCCCACTCTGGAGCCAGGCCCGGGGTTGGGGCTCGCAGGCGAGCGCCTGGTGGCCGGGTCCTTGCTCACGGGACTCGGCCGGGCTCAGCCCGAACAAGCGACGTGAGTCCGCTTTCCAGTGGGCCCACCACCCGCAGGAAGGCCCACAAGGGGCCGGTGCCTTGTGATTTGGGTGGCGGTTGTGGGCGGAGACCACGACGGCCCAATCCCTGGACAACCACTCT